GGGAGCGGGGGAAGTGTCTTAATTTTGAGGAAAGGCTAGATAAGCAATATTTGCACCCTTACAAACAGGCATCCAAGATGTGATCAAATATCTATAAGAAGGTAAACCAGAAGCTTTATATGATCATGGGAGTAGAATAGCTAAAACTAGTAAAAAGGTAAATTTACTTCAACTTGCACTTACTTGCTCACTTTAAAGTAGTAAACCATTTCAAAATACTTCACGAAAAGAGGTGTTACAAAGCAAAAGTTGCCTCTGAGACACAAAGTGAAATGTTTGGATAGGGCACCAGAAACCTAATCTCAGAGATAAATTTAAAGGAGTGTTAAAAGGGATAATGAGGATCAGGGGCACAGATTGAATCCATGGCAGCTGAAACCATGGCCGCTAACAATGTTAAATTTCACTGACAAGTGTTTTAGGCTGGGTAGCTGCTTGGTACTTGCTTTAAACTGAGCTCAACATTATCTCAGGCACTGGGCAGAAGAGAACTTCATTCGAGTTTAATTTAGATAAATGTGAGGTGCTGAATTTTGGAAAGGCAAATCAGGGCAGGGTTTGTACACTTAATGGTAAATTCCTGGGGAGTGCTGCTGAACAAAGAGACCTTGGAGTGCATGTTCATAGTTCCTTGAAAGTAGAGTCGCAGGTAGACTGGATAGTGAAGAAGGCGTTTGGCAGGCTTGCCTTTATTGGTCAGTGCATTGAATATAGGAGTTGAGAGGTCATGTTACGGCTGTACAGGACATTGGTTAGGCCACTTTTGGAATACTGTGCTCAATTCTGGTCTCCCTGCTATAGGAAGGACGTTGTGAAAGTTGTAAAAGGTTCAGAAAAGATGTACAAGGATGTTGCCAGGGTTTGAGCTATAGGGAGCGGCTGAATAGGCTGGGGCTATTATCCCTGGAGTGCTGGAGGCTGAGGGGTGACCCTATCGAAGTTTATAAAATCATGAGGGGCGTGCATAGGGCGAATAGCCAAGGTCTTTTCCCCAGGGTAGCAGAGTCCAAAACTAGAGCGCATAGGTTTAAGGTGAGAGGGGAAAGATTTAAAAGGGACCTAGGAGGAAATTTTTCACGCAGACAGTGGTACATGTATGGACTGAGCTGCCAGAGAAAATGGTGGAAGCTGGTACAATTACAACATTTAAAAGGCATCTGGATGGGTATATCAATGGGAAGGGTTTAGAGTGTTATGAACCAAATGCTGGCAAATGGGACTAGATTAATTAAGGAACTGCCATAGTTTTAAGGGCTTGAATGATGAGAAATTTGTTAATGTTGAAAATTTTCTTTATCAATATGTAGATGTACCTACTAGGGAAGGAGCAAAACTTGACCTTCTCTTGGGAAATAAGGCAGGGCCAGTGATTGAAGTGTTAGTGGGGAACACTTTGGGATCTGTATGCATAATTCCACAGTTTTAAAATAGTTATGGAAAAGTTAGGCCTTCTATAAAGGAAGAAGTTTTAATCAGGAGTATGGCAAATTTTGAGGGTATGAGAAAGGAGCTTTCAAAAGTTGATTGGAATAGACTGTTCACAGGTAAAGGGACGACAGTCAAGTGGGAGGCGTTCAAAAATGTGATAACGAGAATTCGGAGACATTATGTTCCTGTTAGAGTAAAAGGCAAGGCTGGTAAGAGTGAATAAAGATATTGAGGCCCTGGTTAAGAATAAGAAGGAGCCATATATTAGATATAGCCAACTGGGATCAAGTGAATCTCTTGAAAAGCATAAGGGGTGTAGGGGCATTCTTAAGATGGAAATGAGGAGGATAAGCAGGGGATATGAGATAGCTTTGGCAGATAAGGTTAAGGTTAAGGATAAATCCAAAGAGATAATCCAAGAGATGTGTCAGTTTTTACTGTGAAGAAAAAAAAATGGAAGCTAAGGAACACCAAGAAATAAATATTGATGTCTTGAAAACAGTCCATATTATAGAAGAGGTGGTGCTGCAGGTCTTAAAAAATATAAAAGGTTTGATAAATCTCTGGGACCTGATCAAGTGTATCCCAGGACATTGTGGGAAGTTAGGGAAGAAATTGCAGGGCCCCTTTGAATCAACGACAGCCATGGGGGAGATGCCGGAGGATTGGAGGGTGGCTAATGTTGTGCCTTTATTTAAGGAAGGCTGTAAGGAGAAGCCTGGGAACAAAAGACCTGAGAGTCTGACATCAGTGGTGGGTAAGTTGTTGGAGGGGATTCTGAGAGATAGGATTTACATGCATTTGGAGAGGCAAGGACTGATTAAGGATAGACAGCATGGTTTTCTGCAGGGGAAACTGTCTCACAAACTTGATTGAGTTTTTTGAGGATGTAACCAAAAAGATTGATGAGGGCAGAGCAGTAGGCATTCTCTACATGAACTTTAGCCTTTGACAAGATTTCGCATGGTAGACTAATTAATAAAATTAGATCACATGGGATTCAGGGAAAGCTTGCCAATTGGATACAAAATTGGTTTGACGATAGAAGACAGAAAGTGGTCGTGGAAGGTTGCTTTTGGACTGGATGCCAGCAGCCAGCAGTGTTCTGCAGGGATCCGTGTTGGGTCCATTTTCATTTCATTTTTGGAAACATGATTTGGATGAGAATTTAGGAGGCATGGTTAATAAGTTTGCAGATGACACCAAAATTGGTGGTATCGTGTACAGTGAAGAAAGTTATACAAGATTACAAAGGGATCTTGATCAATTGGGCCAATGGGCTTAGCAGATGGAGTTTAATTTGGATAAATGCGAGGTATTGCATTTTAGTAAAACAAACAAGGGCATGACTTATACAGTTAATGATAGGGCCCTGGGTAGTGTTGTGGGACAGGGACACTTAACGTGCAGGTTATTCTTTGAAAGTTGCATCACAGGTAGACAGGGTGGATAAGGTGGGCGTTTAGCACACTTGCCTTCATTGCTCATTTTGAGGTTGTACAGGATGTTGGTGAGGCCACACATGGATTACTGTGTACAGTTCTGTTTGTCCTGCTATAGGAAGTATACTATTAAACTGGAGAGGGTTCAGAAATGATCTACCAGAATGTTACTGGGACTGGACGGTTTGAGTTACAAGGAGAGGCTGGGACTTGTTTCACTGCAGTGTAGGAGGTTGAGGGGTGACCTTATTGAGGCTTATAAAATCACGAGGGGCACAGATAAGGTAAATAACAATGGTCTATCCCCCAGGGTGGGGAAGGTCAAAACCAGGGGGCATATTTTTAAGATGAGAGGAGAAAGGTTTAAAAGTGACCTGAAGGGCAACTTTTTCCACACAGAGGGTGGAATGAAGTGCCAGAGGAAGTGGTAGATGCAGGTACAGTTACAACATTTAAAAGACAGTTGGATAGGTATGTGAATAGGAAAGATTTAGAGGAATATGGCCCAAATACAGGTAAGTGGGACCAGTTTAGTTTGGGAAACTTGGTTGGCATAGACGAGTTGGACCAAAGGATCTGTTTCCATGCTGTATGACAAAAAAAAGTTGAGTCTAACACACTGGCCATAGTCTAAAAACCATTTGTAATTTTGGCCATGGAAGAGGACAAAGCTAATTACACCAAATTCTAAGAATAGCTTGTGCATAGGCAGCTATGTCATAGTTATTTTTATTTATGGGATATGGGTGTCACCACTTAGAGAGATAAAGTTAGAGATGGATTTAATCGTGAATTATGTTAAAGTGAAGTGAAATGCAGTGAGTTAAAGTTGAAGTCTAGTTAGATGAAGTGAAAAGTACTGAAAAGTGCTGCACTGAATATATGTTTTATATTGATACCTAAAGAGTTAAATAAAGAAGGGTTTGTTTCATTAAGTTCCAAATCAACTCCGTCTTTTGTCTAACACACAAGGGAAGAACACCTGGGAGAAGGTTAAAGTAGTCCTTTTGGGTGTCACATTTGAGGCCATCATTCATCGAAAAATCTCTAATTGAGAAGGTTGTGGTAAGTTTCTTGAACTGCTGCAGTCCTTCGTATTTAGGAACCCCACAATGCAGTTAGGAAGGGTATTCTTGGATTTTGACTCAGAAATACTGAAGGAGCGGTGAAGTTGTCCCAAGTAAGGATAGTGTGTGGAGAATTTCCAGATGGTGGCGCTCCCATGCATCTTTTATCCTTGTACTTCTAGGCTGTAGAAGTCTCAGGTTGGATGAAGGAGTGGAAGGGTGGATTAGCAAGTTTGCGGAAGATACGAAGGTGGGTCGTGTTGTGGACAGTGCAGAGGGCTGTTCTAGGTTACAAAGGGACATTGGTAGGATGCAGAGCTGGGCTGAGAAGTGGCAGATGGAGTTTAACTCTGATAAGTATGAGGTGATTCATTTTGGAAGGACAAACTTGAAAGCAGAATACAGGGTTAACGGAAAGATTCTTGGCAGGGTGGAGGAGGAGAGGGATCTTGGGGTTCATGTTCACAGTTCCCTGAAAGCTGCCACCCAGGTGGATAGAGTTGTTAAGAAGGCGTATGGTGTGTTAGCTTTCATTAATAGATGGATTGAGTTCAAGAGGTGTGAAGTTATGCTCCAGCTATACAAAAGCCTGGTTTGGCCACATCTGGAGTATTGTGTCCAGTTCTGGTCGCCTCATTACAGGAAAGATGCGGAGGCATTGGAAAAGGTGCAGAGGAGATTTACCAGGATGTTGCCTGGAATGGAGGGAAGGTCTTACGAGGAAAGGTTGAGCGAGCTAGGGCTTTTCTCTTCAGAACGACGAAAGATGAGAGGTGACTTCATAAAGGTGTACAAAATGATCAGAGTTGTAGATAAAGTGGACAGCCAGAGACTTTTTCCTAGGGTGGAGATAGCTATTAAAAGGGGGCATAGTTTTAAAGTGAGTGGAGGTAGATACAGGCGAGATGTCAAAGGTAGGTTCTTTACTCAGAGAGTGGTAGGGGTGTGGAATGCATTGCCGGAGAAGGTACTGGAGTCGGCCTCATTAGGGGCATTTAAGCAGCTATTAGATAGGCATATGGATGATAGTATAAGGTAGCGGTGGAGGT